CGCAGCTCGGGAATGAGCCTGCACTGCATGAGCTCATAGTGTTTGCTGACAGGGCTCCCGGTCCTGAAGAGGAGGATCAGTGCTGCTCTGTGCAAAACTATTGCACAGAGCAGAGTATAACCTGTTTGTGATTTAAATAAAATATGGGTTTACAACCACTTTAAAGTTTACACTTGTGATAATAGACACAGTTCACGAAAATCACTTTCCTTTGGGTGCAGGGTATGTCAAGCTAGCTGTAATTCATTGACCCTATTGGTTTTTTTTTTTATTATTATTCTGGACATGGAATACTCACCTGAGTTTTCAGCAACAGTTGCCAATTTTTCAGTGATTAAAAAAAAATTATTTTGTGAAATCTGGAGACACAGTTATGTGAATTGGTTATACTGAATATTGCTACAACTACACATGAAATAGTAAGAATTTATTAGCAAGAGCTTTAACCTTTTTCTGACAGCTCTGTCAACTAAATTCAGGGTACTCTAATAAAACAAATATACGAATTTACATTTCTTACCAAACCTTTACAACCTTGCATGTAACCACAGCCCTATAAATGTTATTTAACACTTCTTTTGGCATTGTTCTCTGAAAACACAGCTAAAATGAATATGGAATTCTGCTAGTTTAGATTTAGAAATTGCTATTCGGCTCTTTGCTGCAAAAACAGACCCCCTGCTGAAAATGGATCTACGTCAGTTTGATCTACGTATCATTTTATATTTTATTATATCCAACGGGATTATGCAGTGCTGCACTGGAAAATCACCATTCTATCTACATTATATGCATTCTTTGGTATCTCTTGTCTTCCTTTATTTACATATTTTCTGTCTGGAAAATCCTAATTACAGCCAAAATATTTTTTATTCATTTTGGGCGTAGTAGAGAAGGGTTTGCCCCTCTATCAGGCTATTATTTGCAGTCTTTGTCCCGATTGGGAAGGTTTCTCATCAATCACTTCCTGTCTAGAGAGAAAATGATGAGAAATCTCCCCACTGGGGACACAGACCGCATCAAAATACTACTTTTGAGTAAAAACGGGGGAGCTCAGAACTTCTGTCAGATTATTACTCTGACTTCCTGTAAAATTATTGCTGTAGTTGGGCTTTAATGTTATTATAAACTCTGTGTAGGTACAGTAAGGCTCTCCTTGAATGTAAATCTATGGTGGCAGGAAAAATACTCTATCAAATGATGATGTACTATAAATGCCATCCATCTAAGTAAAGGCACAGTTTTTTACATCAGCAGGCAGGCCTATATGCAGCAGAGGCAAAGGGGTGACTTTTAGTTGTATAGTTATACGGATGGTATTCACCATTACCGGTAAAAACACAGTTAAAGTATTTCATATGTGCCTATACTATATGACCAAAAGTTTGTAAACACCTGGCCAGCCCACCTATATAAGCCTATTGGACAGCCTATTCTAAAACTATGGACTTTAAAAAGGTCTTAGTAGTAGAAAAAAAAATCTGTAATGGCTTAGTGAGCAAACGTTTATTTATTACACTGTGATATCTGGGGTGATTAGCTCAATGATAGAAACATTTTTAGTGAGTCTGCCAGTCCGAACTGTGATATAGGTCTTGTTGGCCACTTTTTTATTAAACCATTCTAAAGTTCAACAGGAAAATAAGTTGCCTGCATAGGGGTTTCCAGCATCAAAACATAAAATGAAGAATAGTACCGAACCACCTGACTCTCTCTTCAGCAGCACTGCTTATTAGGCCTTAAACATGGCTCTTGGCTTCTGGTCACTCTGACCATCCTATACAGTACCTTCGCTTTCCTAGATCTCTTAGTTCTCTAAGCCTTTTCGGTTGCAGCACTCTGATTTATTGGCCCATTCCCTTGGCTCTAGATAGGTGTTCTCCTGATACCCTGGGCTCTCCTAATTCTCCGAGACATCCAGCTTCCACCAGTCCTTGGACTTGTCAGTCTGTCTCTTGATTAAAGCACCACTAATGACTATGTGCAGCTGTACTCACAGCCTGCTGGTCTTCTGCTAGACCTGGACACTGGGTTGGAGATTTTTTTCCCTCCCAAAACTCTTGAAATCTTCAAACTCGAGAACCCAACCCAATGAATACTAAAATCCTGAGAAAACCAAAAAAAAAAACAATTTTCTACACTCACAATTGATATTCCGGAGTTCCACACTCTGCATACCCTGTGTCCCTTTTTTTTTTCTACTTTTACTTAGTAGCAGAGCCTTGCACTCTCACAACACCAAAACAAATGTTTTCGTAGCTCATATACCACTTCAATAATTTATTTGTGTTACACAGAGGTTCAGCGCTTCCTGGTTGCTGGGCAATCATCGATGCAAGCACACGTTGATGATTGGCCAGCAACCAGGAAGCCCTGAACTCTGTGTAACAAAAATAAAATAAAGACAGGGGTATCTTCCAAACTTGTAGTTTGTATATAGCTTTTACCATTACATCAGATTGTTTGTAATGTCATCAAGTGTTTTTTATCCAATTTTTTTTAGAACAACACATACACCCAATAACACTGTACGCTTACTGCACTATAAAGGCTCTTCCTCCTCTCCTCTTATTTTTCTTTTTTTTCCGGTGGACATTGCAGAGTTTTCCACCTCCACAACTCATTTTGTGGACCACCACCCTACAGACATTATTGAGGTGCTGCCCACCCTCTCATTGCAACAATAGTCTTCACCCTTGTGGAAAGGCTTTCCACAAGTATTTTAAAGTATCTGTATGAATTTATGTGAAAACATCTGTGAGGTACAAGTACAGCAACGATGTTGGATGAGAGAACCTGGCCTTCAACTAGCATTTCAATTCATCCCAAAGATGTTCAGTAGGGTTTAGGTTGTCAGGGCTCTGTTTAGGTCTTTCGTGTTCTTTCCCACTAAACTCATCAAACTATGTCTTTATGGAGCTGGATTTATACACAGGGGCACAGTCATGCTAAAGCAGAAAACAAAGGCCTTAACCAAACTTGCCACAAAGTTGGAAGCCCCAGTTTGTCTAGAATGCCTTTGTAAACTTTATGGTAAACTACATTCTTTTGACCATATAGGCTGGTGTAGTGATCCAATATCCACAAACTGTTGGCCATATATTGGGGTTAATTTACTAAAACTAGAGGGTGCAAAAACTGGTGCATCTGTGCATGGTAGCCAGTCAGGTTCTAACTACAGCTTATTCAATTAGAGCGAAGCTCCAGTGTATGTGAAAAAACTAAAAGTCAGCAGCTACAAAAAATTTAACTGCTGACTTCAAAAAAGCCACTCACCTGTCCCTCATCTTACCGCAGCGGGGTTCACCCGGCGTTCTCTGTCCCCAGCACCATATGGACACCTGGCTGTTTCATCTTGCGGCTTCACAGCCAGTCCCAAATGCATGTGCGAGTAGCACTGCGCATTGTAAATGGTCCCACAGTTTTTTGGGACCTGTCACATGTCCCAGAAGACGGTGGGGGAGGAGAACCTCTGCTTTTGGTCACCCAGGCAGCTGGAGTGGAAGTGGGAGCGGGTACCAGTCCAGGGGCGGACTGACAACTCATGGGGCCCTGTGTCCTCGCCCACACTCAAACCACCCCCCCAAAAGCCTATGAAATGTACCAGGGGCATCTCATGGGGCCCCCTACTGACCCAGGCCCTTGGGCAGAGCCCGGGTTCTCGAATGGTCAGTTCGCCCCTGTAGCAGTCCAAATAGGGAACCGCCACAACCCCCCCCCCCCTCGCAAAGGTGTTGATTCCTAACGGGGATGAGTCATTAAAGCTGAACTTCTTTTGGGAGGAGATCTGCTTTAAGATTGACAAAAAAAATTGCACCTGATTTTGCACTCTCCAGTTTTAGTAAATCTACCCCATTATGTTTACACATTATCACAATGTTCTAAACAAAGTTAGGACAAATAAAACAAGAATATATTTATAGTAAAAGCATCATCTTAGCAGAGAAGTGTTGCTTTGGGCACCAAAGACTGTGTGCCTTCAGACATCTGAAATGGAAATCCAGCCCGGTCAAAAGCAATGTAGATAATACAGACTGTTACTAATCAACAGTACATAGTTTTACAGACTGCTGTTGAATGCTCACATCCATAAATAGATATCCACTCATATGAGCGTACTTAAGAAATGTGTAGGTGGTGACATCTGAGACAGGTGCTATTTGAAGAGGAGCTGAATTAATTTTTTTTCTGTATCAGATTTAAATAAGGGTAGGTTATCACAACACAGATACTTTACAAAAATCTAAAGAAAGTTTATTTACATATTTTGTGGCACATATTTAAATAATTGCAAGTAACCCCTCTCTAAACATTGGTATCCCCTCCAGCCACAGGTGAATCGGGTGCCTGTCCACAAGCACATGCTTACTCCATGCGTTGTATTACCAGGAGAACAAGAAGGCCACACACTGAGGACATCTTTGGGCAAAAAAAAAAAAAAAAACGCTTTATTCAGGCCACACACACATGCTGCTGACTTCCAACATAAAACCACCCTATACTGATGCATTTTACCTTTATAGGCTTACTCATCTACGTAGAGAAGGCTCTATAATTAAGCCCGTAAAAAAGTTAGGTTTAAGCCCAGTGACATCACTGATATACAGCCTTCTTTTTCTTCTGGTATTACAACATATTTAAATGGTTGCATTACACCACACAGCCTACTTTTGCCATATTTGTTTGAGCCTAAAGCGTAGGCGATATCTGATAATGTACACGTTTTCCCTGAGATGACCAGAAGAAGGACATATTTTAGGAATAATGGAGAGGTCTTTGGTATCAGTAGGCGGCTTGGATTGTGTTTTGGCTTCTTCGGCTCCCATCTCTTCTCAAAACTATGTTAGTGGATATAATAGAACAAAACTGCAGTCCTTTCACACTTATGTAGAAAAAATGTCCAGTGTTTTATTTTATGTCATTTTGAAGTCTCCATTTCTTTTCGCTGCACTTAGTAGATTGATCCAAGTGGTACTTGGATAAGGGCTTCTTGTTTCATTTCACACCTCACCTTTTGGCTGAACCCGGATAGCACGCTTCTTATTGGTGCAACAACAGCCGGAACACGCTACAATTACAATCACCAACACTGCAGCTGTGGAAGAGAAAACAGTCACTGTATTGTTTGTATTGAGTATGGCTTAAAGGATAAGTTCACCTTTGGGAACATGTTACATGTTCCACCCATTTTTAGGATGGAACATGTAACATGTTGCCAAGGCTGCAGCCGCTGCCTGCTGCTAGTGATATTGATTTTTTTGGGATTATTTGATATATAAGTTTGATATTAAGCACATCTTTGTTTTGATAGCCCACTATTCCCATTTGCTTACCATTAGACCACATCTAGTTGTACATTCTCATTACTATGGCAGCTGCAGGAGTTTATGTATTAGGAAACATAGCTGCCATTGTATTGTTGTTTCTGTAGAACATGTCAGTTTTTGTAGACTACTTTTTATAGTAGCTAGGTAGCAGAAAAGTTGACACAAAACAGCACAGAGACACTCTAGCATTAGTGATTGTCTATTTGGTGAATTTTATAGATTGGATTTGAATGTAACTTCTAATACACATAAACATTTTTATTCAAAAAGCAAGTGAAGGCAATCAGTATCAATTGCTTACACATTGTACCTTTACTAAAATCACTGATGAAAAGCAGCATGGCACTTTTAATATTATGACGGTACTTGGGTACCCTCCTTTCTTCAAGTCTCACAGGAGCCAGACAGGATTCTAAGAGCATTGGAGACATATCTTGCCCACTCTGTTTTTGATTAGTAATTTGCGTTGATGGAGTCATCAGGGGTCGAGTCTATATACTTGAAGATCTACCCAGGAACAGCTTGCAGCCTCCACTGATTTTGTAGCTATGCTGTAGAATGGATTACTAAATGGACCTAGCTAGTCAAAGGAGCAGCTGCACAGTGCTAAGGGTAAGTGTTATATTATTTATCACTTGCTTGTCCCACACTGTTTGAGAAGGTTGGGTTATCTAGGTCTGCTTTAAAAAGACACTGTCACCTCATGGCATTTACTGTAATAAGGCCCTTTCAACCCTCTGATATCTCTCTAGTGATGTCATTCTATGTCAGTTTCTACATTAGCTGGGGCAAAATATCATATGCATCTGGGCATAGGGCTGAATGTACAGTGGGGAAAATAATTAAAATAATAAAATAAGTATGTGATTCCCAAGCAAAACATGACTTAATGGAGAAACTCTTGTTGGCAAGCACAGAAGTAAGAAGTTTATTGTAGTTGGTTACCAGGTTTGCACACATCTCGGGGGAGATTTTGATCCACTCTTCTTTACAGATCTTCTCTAAATCCTTAAGGTTTCTTGGCTGTCACTTTGCAACTCTCGAAAATTCAACTCCCTCTATAACTTTTCTGTGGGGTTAAGGTCTGGAGACTGGCTAGGCCACTTCATGACCTTAATGTTCTTCCTCTCCTGTGTTTCCTTGGTGATATGTTTTGAGTCATTGTCATGCTGGATGACCCATCTTCAGTGTTCTGGCTGAGGGAAGAAGGTTCTCATCCAAGATTTTACAATACATGGCCCTGTCCATTGGCCCCTCAATCCGGCAAAGTCGGCCTGTACCTTTAGCAGAGAAACAGCCCCAAAGCACTGTAATGTTTTCCACCTCCGTGCTTGACTGTAGGGATGGTGTTTTTAGGGTCATAGTCAGCATTTTTCTTCCTCCAAACATGGCGAGTCAAAGTTAATGCCAAAGAGCTCAATTTTGATCTCTTCTGACCACAGCACTTTCACCCAATCCTTCTCTAAATTATTTAGATGTTCATTGGGAAATTTCAGACAAGTCTGTACATGTGCTTTCTTGAGAAGGGGGACCTTGCAGGTGATGCAGGATTTCAATCCATGGTGGCATATTGTGTTACCAATGGTTTGTTTGGTGACTGTGGTTCCAACTGCCTTGAGATCATTCACAAGTTCCTCTCGTGTAGTTCTGGACTGATTCCTCACTTTTCTCATGATCATCCTTGCCATATGAGGTGAAATCTTGGCACTCCAGACTGAGGGTGATTGATGGTTATTTTGTATTTATTCCATTTGCGAATAATTGCTCCAACAATTGTCTCCTTCTCACTAAGCTTCTTGTTGATGGTCTCGTAGCCCATTCCAGTTTTGTGCAGGCCTTACATACTTGTCCCTGACATCCTTTGATCTTGCCCATGGTGGTGCCCAAGAAAGATTCTGGGGACAGGTGTCTTTTATACACACAATGAGTTGTCATTAGGAGCACCTTCTTAAATTGACAGAACTAATCTGTGTACCACATGACCACATAGCCAGTTTGTGGGAGCCAGAATTATTGTAGGTTGATAGGGGATGAAATACTTTTTTTTTTTTTACTCACTGAACTGCATCTCAATGTGTAGCAATTGTATCGTGTTTTTTTTCTGGATTTTTGATTTATAATCTTTTTCTGTCATTTAAAATACACCTATAATAAAAATGATAGATCTTTCATTTCTATGTAAGTGGGCAAACTTACAAAATCTTCCGGGGGGTCAAATTATTTTCCCCACTGTAATCTCCTTGCATGTGACGGTGATTTTGTCTAGCAGCCCATTTCTAGACCCAAATAATGTCATATGGTGTAGTGGGTAACATCAGGTATTTTGGTGCAAGCTGTGACAGAGGAAGGTGCTGCGGGAAAGCGCTGGAAAGGCAAGTATTTTTAGGAGTGGGTTTTTGTCTTTTCACAGACTTTTCCTTGAATCATCAGAAAGTCTTTAAGTGAGAGGTATGCTTCTACTTAAATGAGGAAAAATTTATATTATTGAATAGTTATATAGTAATAAGCAGCATGAAAATACAAAAATACCAGTTCTTTCTACTCACCAATAAAAACAAGGATGATGGTGAATGAAATTATTTCCACAGTGTCTGCCTGAGGGATTTGCCTTAATTTTGTCAAAAGTTTTTGCCCCATGTTCTCCAGCTCTTCTTTTATATCTTTAGAAGACATGGTTGCACAAAGGTTTGTGGCAAAATCTGCCTGAAATAATCAACAAATATACAGAATCAAAATCTATATTTGCAATTGTTTTTTTTTTAGAGTGATCAGTTTTAGATCTAGCCTTACAGTGAGGCAGAACCCACCTCTCTTGAAATGCACGCGCCTATGTGCTTAATCCCAATTTACACAAGTAGTTTTCCTCACCATGGAGTAAAGTGTTGAAAAGTAACAACATTTGAGTCTTTGACCTCCATGTTTAGTCTTTTTTTTATTATTTTCAGTTTGTGTCCTTTTACATGCAGTAATACATTGACATCAGTTTGCATTAGCTCATAAGGTATTTAAACCCATTTGCACATGTTTACATCATTGAACTGTTACATCATTTTATGTGTATGTAAACCCTAAGGGCTTGTTCACACATGCAGTGCCCTCTGAAGAGAGATCTGTGTTAGAAAGCAAATCTTTTTCTTTTCAGTTTTGTATATAGTAGAGAGAGGGATTAGAACATCTGTCAGGTTTGTATTGCAGTCTGTACCCATATTGGTGACATTCATCTCTATTTGTCCTGTTTATTATAATCAGAGAGAGTGAAGTGAAAGAAAATCCCAAGTTTTGGGTTGTAACCTGAACAGGAATGGAAAGGATATCTGGGGACAAGCAGGGATTCCCTCACTTTGCAGAGATTTCATCTCGCTTCCTTTGAAGTTATGGAATAGAAGGTGAAGGGAAATCTCACCAATGGTTACAGATGGCAAAAAATAACATGACAGTGGTTATAACCTTTCTTTCCTCTATCCAACATAAAAAAAAGTTTTGCATTTAGTTCATCTTTAAGGCAAAAATCTACTAAATTTACCTTCCAAAAAGTAAGTAGCATCTTCAAACTGTTCAGTCACCTTCTAGCTAACAAGTTCTCATATTCAACCTTGTGTTTAAAGGTGCTGAGATTTACACATGGCCCTATGAGCTGTTCCTTAAGCAGCCCATAAATGAGTCAGTTTTTTTTTTTTCGTTGAACGAAAAAATAAAATTACTTGATTCCCCCATCCACATGTTCGAGGTGGATGGGGAAATCCTCCCCACTGAACCTTTGTATTCTTACAATGGAGAGACTTCCCTACTCTCAGAATAAACTGATTAGCATTGCAGGCTATAGTCTGGAAAATCTGACAGGTTGTACAGAAGTCGATTGGTAGATTGACTTCTGCACAACCTTAGTGCCCATACATGGAATGATCTTCAAACAGTTTCTCCTGAACCGTCTGAATTTCAAACTATGTATGCCTGGCTTTAGTTACAAAGTGTCATAGTTATATGACAAAACATGACCAATACAGGTTTGGTTCTAAAGCTTGCCATAGTCAGTTCAAAATTCATCCAGTTCAGCAGGGACTGGGTGACTTTCGATTAGTGTGTGGTTTTGCTGGGGGTCAAGCAAGGAATTTTTTTTTTTTTTTAATATCGTTTAAAAAAGAAACAAAAATGCCCATCTATGCTCAGCTTTACATTGACAACCTTTTCCTGAACTTTGCAATCGTGATAAAAGTGGAGTTTTACATGGGTTGTGCATCAACCTTCGCAAAATTGTTGGCAGTAGTGAAGACTGCGTTGCCTTTAACTCACAGGTGCTGTTTCTTCAGCTGTCACTGTGTTATTTCAAATTATTCAATGGATCAAGATCTCTTTGCATTCCCCAAGGAATATTATTATCCTTAGAACAAGAGTCGGGTAAAGTGTTTCTAAAATAAAAAGTTTTTTTACCTTAATGCATTCAATGCTCCACTCCCTTCCTAATCCCTAAACATTTATCTGAGTTCTCGATCGATCCAGCAACGTCCTGCCATCAGCATCGCTGCTCTCTTCCTAGCCTCACAGGAGCCATAAGCTCCTGCTGCTGTCAGTCAAATCCTGTAAGTGTGTGTCTATGGATGTATACAGTTTTGACATTTTAGAGTATCCCTTACCTCATTGTCCTCCCCAGTTACAAGATTTCAACAATAAATTTAAAAAAACATCCCCTAGACCAGGGGTCTTAAAATTTTCTAAACAAAGGGCCAGTTTCCTGTCCTTCAAACTTTAGGAGAGCTGGACTGTGGCCAACGGGAGTAGAAAATGTCTTGGTGTCAGTGGGAGTTAACAATGCCCCATCATTGGTGTCAGTGGTAGGAATAGTACCCCATCGTTGGTGTCAGTGGGAGGAATAGTACCCCATCGTTGGTGTCAGTAGGAGGAATAATGCCACATCATTGATGTCAGTGGGAGGAATAGTTGCCCATCATTGGTATCAGAGGGAGGAATAGTCCCCATCATTGATCAGGGAGGAACAGTGCCCCATTTGTTCAGAGGGAGAAATCCCCATTGTTGGTGTCAGAGGGAGAAATAGTGCCCCATCGTTGGTGTCAGTAGAGGGATAGTGCTGCATCATTGGTGTCAGGAGGAATAGTACCCCATCATTGGTATTAGGGGAGGAATAGAGCCCCATCATTGGTGTCAGTGGGAGGGATAGTGCTGCATCATTGGTGTCAGTAGGCAGAATAGTGCCCCATCATTGGTGTCATTGGGAGGAATAGTGCCCCATCATTAGTATTAGGGGAGGAATAGAGCCCCATCATTGGTGTCAATGGGAGGGATAGTGCTGCATCATTGGTGTCAGTAGGCAGAATAGTGCCCCATTATTGGTGTCATTGGGAGGAATAGTGCCTCATTGTCAGCAGCAGGAACTATGCTCCACTGTTGCTGCTTATGGCCTAAGGGCTGGATAAAAACAAGCGAAGGGCCACATCAGCCCCAGGGCCACAGTTTGGAGACCACTGCCCTAGACTGATTTGCCGGGAGTGAGTGAACTGTCTCTGTATGCCTGGCTGCCTCTGCACTGTGTGGGGAAAAAGCCTGTTAACTACACTGGCTCCTACAGGGGTAGTGCCACACCCTTAACAATGGAGTCAATTACTAAATTAAAAACATGATAGAGATTAAATCATTCCCCACCCCATCCACCAAAAGCAAAAGGACAATGTTTTGGCTTAAAATTCCTCTTCAAAGTGAATCTGATCTGGCCTATAACATTTTTGACATACAGACTTGCAGTTGTTTCTGGAAGCATCTGTGTTAGTCTTCCGATCAGTTCCTGTGACTCTGTGGAGTACCTTGGATTTTTCTCCAGATTGATGCCTTTACCGGTGCTAAGCATCCACCCTTGTCATATAACTGTAAAATGCTAGAACTTTTGTTGCTGGTTTGAATGGCATTTGACAGTTGAATGACAGCTTTGGGCTTTGTGCTGGGAACAGAGGGCTTGGGCAGAAGTTAAAGTGACACTGTCTCCAAAAATAATCCATACACATTCACTACGTAATGGCCTTGTAATCTGTTTTTTTTTTTCATGAAATAGTTTTTCTGCTTCCTTGTAACATAGCCACTGAGTTCTCAAACCTCTTCTTTTCCCCCTTTACTTCTGCTTGTTTTGAACAAGCAGTGTAGGGTCAAGTGCACTGTTCTATACACACTACAAATCCCTTAGTCCCTAATCCATTTAGAGAGGGTACATACATACAGCGGGACCATGGAGAATGAACGTAGCCACCCTCTAAAAGGAAGTCAGATCACGGCATGAACAAAATTCTCTGGGAGGATGCTGGGATCAATAGCATGGACTTTTTGTGTTAAGAATACATACTTTAATAAAATATTTTCTTTTAAACCAGAGTGTCACTTTCAGGCACCCATGTACAGCCGAGAATTAGGATCCAGTGGTCTTTACAGTGGCACAGTGATTAAAACTGAAGATTGCACTTTAGCACTGTGGTAACCTTAACATGTTGTTGTCAAATCAGGTTCACTTCAAAATATACTTTTCCTGGGTGATCTGTAGAGCCTGCCACTTTTTTTTTTTTTTTTCTTTTTTTAATTAATATCTTTTAATAAATTTTATTTCGATACATAGATCAAAGCTATACAATTTATTGAAACACAAACAATCCAACTAACTTGTTTACCCCTTTCTTTACCATTTCTGGGAAATGGTTCAAAAATAGAAATGCACGGTTAAGGGATATAGTAGATAAGGGGAAGTTTTTTACATTTCAAGAATTAAGGAGTAAAAAAAAAAGATTTATTTTATACTTTAGATGGATTTAGATATTTTCAATTAGGACATTTTATCTCAACACTCCCCCCCAACCACTGAGTATGCCGGAGGATATGCTTCCATTTGAAAAAAGTTTGACAGTTCATAAACATGTAACTTCTAGAATATATAAGATCCTTATTGAATGGATGGGATCTGAATTTCCATTATTCTTAGAGAGATGAGAAAGAGAATTGGGTACAAAAATGAATGAGCAACAGAAGAATAAATTGTTTAAGTTGATGCACGGGGTGGTGAATATGAACACAGAAATGAACTATAAATGTTTAACCACCTCCCGCCCGCCATATAGTAATATGATAGACGCAAGGCGGTTCTCTCGTTCTGGGAGGTTGTCATATGACGTCCTCCCATTCTCACTGCGCATGCACGGCTCCCAGAACGCACAGCACGGTGATCTGCAGTGTGCTGTGTCCCTCGGACACAGCGGATCAACATTCAATGGAAAGAGCCAAAGATGTTCGCTCGGTCATGTAATCACCTGTGTCCAATCACAGCTGATCGCATGTAAATAAGGAAATGCCGGTTATCGGCATTTCTCTCCCCACGAGCTGTCACTCTGACAGAGGAGAGCCGGTAATCAGCATTCCTCGGAGGGGACATGTGCACAGATCATCAGAGCACTGATGATCAGTGTGCCCTGATAATCTGTGTAGCCCCTGCAGTGCCATCTGTCAGTGTCCATCAGTGCCAGGTCTGTGCTCATCCATGCCACCTGCCAGTGCCACATTTCAGTGCCCATCTGAGCTGCCTTTCAGTGCCGCCTATCAGTGCCAGTCAGTGCCGCCTATCGTGCATCAGTGCTGCCTAACAGTGCCACCTAACAGTGCCAGTTAGTGCCGGCTATCAGTGCCATATATGAGTGCTGCCTTTCAGTGCCCATCAGTGATGCCTGTCAATGCCCATCAGTGCCACCTACCAGTGCCTCCTCATCAGTGCAGCCTATCAGTGCCCATCACTGCAGCCTCATTAGCGCACATCAGTGAAGGAGAAAAATCACTTATTTACAAAATTTATAACAAAAACTAAGAAAAAATGTTTTTTTCTCAAACTTTTCTGTGGTTTTTGGTTTAAGAAAAAAAATAAAAAAAACCCAGCGGTGATTAAATACCACCAAAATAAAGCTCTATCTGTCACAAAAAATTATAAAAATTTCATATGGGTACAGTGTTGCATGACTGCACAATTGTCATTCAAAGTGCAACAACGCTGAAAGCTGGAAATTGGCCTGGGCAGGAAGGGGGTATAAGTGCCCTGTAGGCTAGTGGTTAACTAGGTGGTATTGTACACTGAGTGTGGCACATAAAGAGAAGACATGTCACCATTATGTTGGAGGGGCTGTGGGGGAAGGGGGTCAATGGCTCTCATATGGTGGGAGTGTTAAAAAAAAATTCAGAGGTATTGGCAAGATATTCAATATATACAGGAGATTTTGTGGATAACTATTCAAAAAGATCCATGGGCGTGCCTATTTTATAGGATAGAGGTGTCAGTGCAACAATATAAAAATAGCTTATTACAGTTGTGACCAAAATTATTCAACCCCCACTGAAATTGAGTGTTTTGGCCAGTTTGACATTGCTTTTGATCATTCAGTCATCTTGCTTACATTTACATTAAAGAGGCACTTGTAGGTCAGACAAATATAACATAACAGTTATAATGAAATAACCACAAATGTCTTTTCTGTGCTCACAGCATTATCAGTTTTATTCAACCCCCAAGTGACATTCAATCTTAGTACTTAGTACAGCATCCTTTTACAGTTATAACAGCTTTTAAACGTGAAGCATAGCTTGACACAAGTGTCTTGCAGCGATCTACGGGTATCTTCGCCCATTCTTCATGGGCAAAGGCCTCCAGTTCAGTCACATTCTTAGGCTTGCGCACTGCAACTGCTTTCTTTAAGTCCCACCAGAGGTTCTCAATCGGATTTAAGTCTGGTGACTGCGATGGCCACTCCAAAATGTTCCAGCCTTTCCTCTGCAACCATGCTCTAGTGGACTTGGAGGTATGCTTGGGATCATTGTCCTGTTGAAAGGTCCAACGTCTCCCAAGCCTCAGGTGTGTGACGGACTGCATCACGTTTCCATCCAATATCTCCTGGTACTGAAGAGAATTCATGGTACCTTGCACACGCTGAAGCTTCCCTGTACCTGCAGAAGCAAAACAGCCCCAAAGCATGATTGACCCTCCACCATGCTTCACAGTAGGCAAGGTGTTCTTTTCATCATAGGCCTTGTTCTTCCTCCTCCAAACATAGCGTTGATCCATGGGCCCAAACAGTTCTAATTTTGTTTCATCAGTCCACAGAACACTATCCCACAACTTTTGTGGTTTGTCCACATGGCTTTTGGCATACTGCAGTCGACTCTTCTTATTCTTTGGAGACAGCAAGGGGGTACGCCTGGGAGTTCTGGCACGGAGGCCTTCATTACGCAGTGTGCGTCTTATTGTCTGGGCTGAAACTTCTGTACCCACATCTGACAAATCTTTTCTCAGTTCCTCAGCAGTCACACGGGGACTTCTCTCCACTCTACGCTTCAGGTAGCGCACAGCAGTCGAAGTCAGCATCTTCTTTCTGCCACGACCAGGTAGCGTTTCAACAGTGCCCTTTGCCTTGAATTTGCGAATGATGCTTCCTAAGGTGTCTCTTGGTATGTTTAACATCTTTGCAATCTTCTTATAGCCATTGCCCTTCCTGTGAAGAGAAATCACCTCTTCTCTTGTCTTCCTGGACCATTCTCTTGCCTTCACCATGTTTGTAACCACACCAGTAAATGTCTAGAAGGAGCTGAGTATCACAGTCATTTTAAAGCTGCCTAATTGGTGCTTATTATGCTTGATTGCTGCTCGGTGACATCCACAGGTGTTTTCAATACCTGATGGAAAGCACCTGTATGAACCTCTGTTCTTCAGAGTGGTAGTCTTTAAGGGGTTGAATAATTGTGGCAATGAAGAAACCACATAAGAACCATTTACTACTGTATTACATAAACAATTGATGTCATTTTAGTTGCATTTGGGTAGTTACAAACGTCCTTGTAGGATTTGATTCTGAATACAATTCCAAATGTACACTATAGTCCCTAAACCCCTTTACAGCATTGGGGGGTTGAATAATTTTGGTCACAACTGTATATCATCCTAGATTGTAAGCTCGAAAGAGTAGGGCCCTCTTACCCCTCGTGTGCTGTTTGATGTTACTGTACTGTTTCATGTATTGTCCCCCCCTCTATTGTACAGCGCTGAGCAAACCCTTTGGCGCTATATAAACTAGATAAATAAATAAATAAATAAATCTAAGCAGTGCTGCAAAAGGTTTAATCCCCAAATTTTGGCAGGCACTGGACTCCCAACAATGAGAGATTGGATAGAGAGGATTGAGTATATAAATAAAATGGAGGAGTTATACCACATAGATGAAGATAGAATGGAAAAATTTAGAAAGGACTGGAGTAGGTGGTATGATTTTAAGACAAATGAAAAATATCTTGAAATAATGGGTGCCCCGGTTGTAGAGTTGGAAAACAAAATTGAATAAATAGAAAGCCGTAATGTGAAGAGAGAAGAGTTTTGACTGTGATTGGTAGACAGGACAGGAAAGAAATGCTAAAGAACTATTTGGACAGGGGTAATTTTATTGGGGTGGGAGGGATAAGGGAGGATGGAGTGAGAGCCTGCCACTTCTGACTGCATGTTCTAGTTTTCTGACTGTCATGTTGAGTTTCTGGCTTCAAAACTTGGAGTTACACACCAAAAGAAGCCTAAAGATAAGGAGTTAGACAATGCTGGACTGCATATTTGTCCCAGGTCAGTGACTCACAAAGTATTGTAACCAGTGGATCAGTATAATGGCTAGGCGAAATAAATGTTCAAACTGTGGTCAGTAATGGCAGTCTTAAAGTGGTTTTAGAGGCAGAAGGTTTTTTTACCTTAACCACTTGCCCTCCAGAGGATTTACTCCCCTTCCTGACCAGGCCATTTTCTGCGTTACAGCGCTGCGTTAATTTAACTGACAATTGCGCGGTTGTGCAACGTTGCACCCAAATGAAATTTGCGTACTTTTTTTTACACGAATAGGACTTTCTTTCGGTGATATTTGATCGCCTGTGCGGGTTTTAAAATTTTGCACTATAAAAAAAATAGACCATCAATTTTGAGAAACAAAACTACATTTTTGACTTTTTGCTATTAAACATGTCCAGTAAAACAATTTTAAAAAATCTCGCCATAAATTTAGGCCAAAATGTATTCTGCTACATGTCTTTGCTAAAAAAAAAAAATCCCAATACGTGTAAATTAGTTTAAGTTAAAGTTATATCTTTTACAAATGGCGGTATATATACAGTTTTTTTTTTTTTTTTTTTTTTTTTTTTCTTTTTACTAGTAATGGCGGTGATCAGCTTATAGCGAGACTGCGGTGGGCATTCTGACATTGGGGGAACTGACTTGGTGTCACTGACATCCCCAGTCACCAGTACAGTGATCAGTGCTAATAAAACGCACTGACACTGTACTAATGGCACTGGGCAGGAAGGGGTTAACATGTGGGGTGATCAAAGGGTTAACTGTGTGCTGGGTGTTTTTTAACTGTGGGGCAGTGTGTGCGTGCTTCACTGTAAGCCATGCAAAGCAGTGTGCAGGAGCTGACAGGGGAGAGATCTAATTTATTTACTAACAGTTCTTCCCCCGTCGGAGATGCTTGGCAATCACCGGGCATCGGCAAATAATCAGCATCCGGGACCCGGTGATAACCGCTGCCGCGAAGGGCATGCGCACGCCCTCTACACGGAAATGCGAAATAATGTATATCTACATGATTTTGCGCACCCGTGCCGCCCTGTAGCAGTACTTCTGCTATAGGGCTGACGGGAAGCGGTTAATGCATTCTATGCATTAAGGTAAAAAAAAACCTTCTGCATGTATCTTCACCTTCAGCCCCCTTATACTTACCTAAGCCCCATCATGATACAGTGATATGTAGGAGAGCAGAGACACTTTCGACTCCCTCCTTCCTCATTGGCTCAGAGACTGTCAATGGCTTCTGCTGCTGTCAATCACAGCCAGCGAATATGGAGCCAGGGTGGGGGGGTGGTGTATAGCAAGCATTTGCTATGGGGACACTCAATGGGAGGACCCTTAGAAGAGGAGGATCAGGCTCTTCTGTGCAAATCCATGTAAGGTAAGTATAACATGTTTGTTATTGAAAAAAAAAAAGGCTTTAGAATTACTTTAGGGTTTCTCACAGGAAAGATTTACTTAGGGTTAGGATCTAGGTATCTGTATAACCAATACATTCCTCCACCAGGCTCTATGCACAGTTAGCCAGTAAACAAGGAAAGGTTAACTGCACGGCTCAGCTTCATGGCTTAAGCCGCAATTATGGTGTATTCAGAAGATCCAGATTCTTGGTGTCCCTCAAGGAAAATTAGTAACCTTGCAACAGCTATTCAGCAAATCTGTTTTTCGGATAATGTGTAGATTCTTGTTTGCTGTTGAAAAGAAGCGCTTGGCCAAATGCCTCAAGTAAGATGACACCCAAGACATAATTAGTTTTTTTACCCAGCAAAGTAGTTTTCTTTTTTTTTTTTTTTTTTTATAAAAAGGAAAGCAAACATTATTTTTTAGAAATAGCAACATCAAATATAGGTGTGAGAGACTGTGGTAAGACTGCATGCTAGATGTCCTGTGGCTAGTTCTACTATAACCACCCACGAGGGTTACTTTGTACCCACTAACAGGACCCATTTAACTGATGAATAGCTACTTTGTCTTTTTTTTTTTTTTGAGGTTACTGATGATTCCTAAATACTTAATATGTGACGATAGCAACAATGTACTTTTTTTAAACAAACAGTAAATTTGAATTCATTCAGACTGGGCCTACAGATAAAGGTGATATACTTGAATAAAATAAAAAAAAATGCCATATCTTAATTGTACAGGACAGGACACAGGCTTGATTTTCAT